TTACCAGAACTTTAAGTTGATTTATTTTTTGCAGTTTACTATATATATTAAAGTATAAAGACTAAGGAACAAGTTTAGAAATTGTCGGGTGTGGATTACACTTGGCACGACCCGTATCGTACGGGTCATACCAGCTAGTTTTATATGAAACCAGACAAATCTTAGACAAATCTACACTAACTCAATTATATTTTGCATTCATAAATAGTTATTTATCTTATGGCAATATTGTTTGGGCTAGTACAAATAAATCTAAACTTGACTGTCTCCTTAAACAACAGAAACATGCAGCACGCATTATTCATTTTCAAAATCGCTTCACAAATGCTAAATCTTTTCTAAAAAGCATGAGGGCACTTGATATTTATGAACTAAATATTTTCAAAATTACACAATTTATGTTTCAACATCAGTCAAAAAAACTCCGAAGGTTTTCGAAAATATTTTCCATAAAACATTAAACCGATGCAACACGCGATCTACCGGAAGATTTAAAAAACCTTTCCATACATCAAAACTTACGAGCTTTGCCATTTCCCTCTCGTAGCCCAATGCTATGGAACATTTTACAAGCCTGAGTGGTAAACTTAAAGAAGCCAATACCTCTCAAAAATTTAAAAAGAACATAATCGAACTTATTGCCAATCAAGATTCTTTACATGATTTTTTCTAACAGTACACTATATATATATATATATATATATATATATATATATATATATATATATATATATATATATATATATATATATATATATATATATATATATATATATATATATATATATATATATATATATATATATATATATATATATATATATATATATTTCGTCTGCTACATTGAATTTGTAATATGTTTTTTTTAGGTTCATAGTTGTCAATAGTGTTTATATACTTGGTTTAATGGTGGTCTTAAAAGAAATAAATAATGAAAAAACGCATAAGTCGAACACGGTAACAAAAGTTATTAGGCTTTGCAAAAAAAAAAATATATAGATTGGCTGGAGAAGGCTGATAGTCATCACGAGCGGAACTCTGTAAAAAAAAAAAGGGGGAGGCAAGGGGTCCCCCACTTTTTTTCTAAAGGACTTTTTTTTTTTTTTTTTTTAAAGATAAATATTGGTATAGAGGACTTTTTTTCAAAAATTGATGATTGTGCCCCCCCCAACCCACTTTAAAACCCGTGTCGTCGGCCCTGGTAAGGTATCAAAATAATCTACTTAATAATGCAACTATGTAACTTAGATAAAAACAGTGTATACTATAGATGCAAAGTAAAAAGATCCTTGATTGCCCCTATTCTTTGGAGTAACTTTTTATACTTATCTATTACATTTACTTGTTGGTTTTTGATCCATACAATTATATTTATTTGTTTGGTAAACCATGCAATAAAATAATGATACGGATTTTTTTTTAAGGACGGATGATAGGAGGGAGGGGAGAGGCCCAACACTTGTTTCGCTGGGGGGAGGGGAGGGGTTAAAATGACCTAAAAACCGGCGTACCACTTGGTGCTTGAAATTTGCCTAAATTTGCAAAACGCGCGACTTCTATGGAAACGCAAACACCATTTTTTATAATTGATAAACAATAACAAACTTACCTTGTCATGTTCCATGACGAACTTAACAGGTTGTGAAAAAAGCACTTTTAGAAAAATAGATTTCTAATAATACTTATTTTCATTCAAATTTTTATATATTAATATAAATGATAATATATCATATGATATAAAACTTTAAAATCAAATTACTTGTAGATTACCGCTTTAAAATAAACAAATTTAAAAAAATAAAGTACATTAGTTATGGGGAAAATTTTTGAATTTTTTTTTGTGATTTGAAACCACCTATTTTAGGATTTTTTTTCCTTGCAATCATTATTATTGCATTTAATTTGGTGAGAATTAACATAGTGAGTTTTCTGATTTTTTGAAAGAGACATAATTGCATTTATAAAGGTGAAAATTTTTTATAGTTTTAATTTTTTTTATTGTAATATTAAAAATCAGTGCAGTCTGATATAAAAGACACTTCATCCAATAGAAAACAGTCTGATATAAAAGCAAACCTCATCCAATAGAAAATTGTAATTTAAATTGTAATTTAAAATGTTAAAGTCCCTAAAAACTAAACGGTTTTCTCTTAAATACTACGCCACAGTAGTTTAAATATTTCAAACTGAGCTAGTTTAAAATATCTAAACTAGTGGAACATATTAGTTAAAATATTTTAAACTACTATGTTGCAGTAGTTTAAATATTTAATTTAAACTTCTGCAAGTAGTTTGTTCAGACTGATTAGGCATGACTAATATCTCCAAGATTGAAGAGAGAATAATTATGCTTGATATTTTTCTGCTCATTTTGTGTTCATAATCTTTAATCTAGTATTTATATTTTTTTGTTTTTAGTGCATAAATTGACGGATAGTTTGGGAAACCTGCAGTTTATTTTTAAGATGATGCTGGCAGAAAAGGAAATAGTATTAAGACAAACATACAAACTCAAGCTGAACTAGCAGTTCACAGGAAAGACATTAAAGCTTATGTATTCGAGGCAGTAGATTAGTGTACTGAAAAAAATAAATGAGGAAAAGCAACATTAAAAACAGAAAAGTTTCCCTAAGTTAAAGATCATGGTACAATAGACAGAATGTTAGATGGTTAAAGTTAAAACTTAGTTAATCTAAATTAAAGATTGTGGTACAATAAAGAGAATGTTAGATAGTAAATTCAAAGAAATTATTTTAGATGTCCTGAAAATTGGAGACCATTTAAACAAAAAACATAAAAAGTTAGAATAAAGCTTTCAAAAATATCCTCAAGTGCAAAAGCAACCCTTTATTCATAATATTTACAGTAGGGAAATTATTTTGGAGAAAATGGCACCCTAAATATGTTAATAATGTTATTAAAAAGCAATGATGATTGAAAATAAACAGAGAATTAAATTTTTTTTTAGAGAAAACTAAACATTTTCCTATTATATAAAATTTTTAGCTAAACTTCAATATTAATATCTATTGT